ACCTTTCTGAGCTCCTCAAATTACATATATTGTGGAAGTCCAGTCTTGGTAAACAGACTAAATTTAATCTGAAATAAACTCTTCGAATCACATGATGGAGGTGTAAAGAAACTCAACATCAACCCCTTGTATCTACTGATCAGCTCCTACTACTCCTTACTCATGCAGACAAAGCTCCAGGGTTATTAGCGTCCTGGACTCTGGACTGAGTTCACAAGTGAAAGAAACTAAATACAAATTCTTTGCACCATGGGCTCCATGTAATTCTATTCTAAACTTCTGCCAAGGGCCAGGGAAAGCCAAAAGGAAGTTGTCAGCCAGCTTTTGCTTGAAGCACAAGAAGGAACATGTACTACACACTCCATCCATTCTCACCTCTAGCTGAAGGTGGTATCTCCCCATTGGTCTGAAACAAAGCCCAGCTTGGTCCTGATACACCTACCATGTCTAAAACATAAAAAGGTAAGCAACAGCTGTCTGCTCTGCATGAGCTTATTTGATCAAGTACAGTACAAAAGGATGAAGCCTGTTGGGCCTGGCACTGTGCTAGAGCTACTCAGTCCTCTCCAAATCCAGAGAACAGAAAATCATGGTGCAGACACCATGGAACCCGCACACAAGAGCTCTCTGCAAGGTCTCTACAAGGCTGCCTCTACAAACAATTTTTTTCCAGTGCTGTCTGCATCCTGCACTGGTCTTTTACATAGTCTTTTATACACATAATCATCTATAATCACTGCCCTAGCAACAGAATAAACTGACATATCCTCAGCCACAAGGTAATACAAACCTGTGAAAGCACTGGCACACCTCCCTGCCCTCGAATAGAACAAACCTAGTATGTTCTCTCTAGTGACACCACAAGGATTGATTGACATGTACATAAGTAAAAGCACACATTACAGTGGACGTGAGTCACCTGTTGGTGGCAAAATTTAACGGATATAGAATCCCCTGTGTCCCAGTAACTCAAAGTAGCACGGCAAAGGCACTGCCACAGGAGGCAGGTAAGACTGTATCTTAAGGAAGATACCCCTTCATAAGGAAGGGTTTTTTTCCCTCAAGGAAAGTAAGTAATGATATGTAAGATGGAAACAGAGAAAATGGGTATCCAAATTAAGCGAACACAGAAATGAAACTTATAGCAGCACTAATATGATACACGCTGTACTACTGAATTACATGCCACCGAATCATGTGCCCTTTGTTTAGAAATAAGCATGGCTTGATGCCAGCTGATCCCCCAGTTGAATTATATGACAGTTGACTTCCCGTAAGACCTTCACAGCTACTCTCAGTTTCCTCCTGCACAGTCTGACCTTCAAATGTAATAAAAATACTTTCTTGATCTTCACCAAAATCACTAATTTCTGAAAGTTCTGAACTTCAACTGACAGCTGGTGGATACTCCCCTCCAGCTGACAGGGTAACATTTCTGACAATTCCAAGAACAGTTTTCAACCTGCTCTGCAGCCACACAGCAAATTCATCATCGACAGTCTTAAATTTTGCACACAAAAAGGTCTAAACCCGTCAAAGTATTCTGCACACTGAAAACAATTTTGGTAAGAACCTATCTTGTCACACCAACAATTTCACATCAGTTTTCACTCACTACGTTGTGAATATACTTACAAGCTATTGCTTGTTCCTCTTACTTTTCCAGCACCTATCAGTTAATCTGATTCATGGAGGTTTTTTTTACTTTTGAGGTCACTAAAACCTCATGATTTAGCTAGGTCAATTTATTGTTATACTTCTTAGTTGTGCCTTTAAAAGTTAGAGGAGGTACAGGTATGAACTGTGCTGTATAGCTTTTCAGTTATTCTTCTTAGCCATTCACAGGATCTCTTCCATTGGTTACCCAGATTTATTGAGGCCTGTTTTCCTGAAGCTGTTTTAATTCTGTTTATTTTCCTCCCTCCTTAATGAGTATTACATCTCACATCTCAACAGTCAAGTGTGTTTGATTGTAACAGTGAGCTCCACCAATAAGTATAACACAGAACAAATCAACAGAATAAAAAGCAAAGTTTCATGAAAAAGTTTCACCATCAATTTCTTCTTTGTGTGGAGAAGTCTTTCTTACTTCTTTCAGAGTTCCTTCATTCTGCTGATGCTGAGGAGCTAGGTTTTTTTAGATCATCCAGAGCCACAGGCAGCACAGTGTTAAATATACATCAGTAAATTAAACAGAAAACGGGACTTTCAAAAGTAGTATTTTCAGAAGTAGTATATTCACCCAGAATTCTAGTAGTAGTATTTTTGATACACACTATCCTATCCTCTAGTTACATAAAAAGAACAATAAGGAAGAATTAACTAACCGTGAATGAATACATTTGTGGAAAATGTGGTAATTTTTTTAATATCTCAAATTTCCATTAATAAATCTAAACTATAAGAATCCTTACCTTATTTTCATTCCAAAGACAGAAGCACTGGAGGAGTGAATAAACATTAGCCATTTGCTAGGGTTTGTATTTTATTTTTTCTTACTCTGCTTTTTAATATTTTTTAAATACATTATTTTTCCCAGATAATATGCATTTGACTGACAGATGAATTGAAAAGCAAACTATTAGAAGGCAAAGAAAAATTGAGGCAAATATGGTTAGGAAGTATTAGCGACTCTAACTTCATCCAGGACAAAGTTCTAGCTCTCCCATTTATTTCAAGGTATCTTGTATTATCTTACTCTATCTAACAGCTCATCCTACGCATTCCCACTTCTATGCCAGTTCTAGCTTGCAATTTCATCAAATTATTTTAATCCATTGCTCTATTAAAGTTTTCTATAGAAGGATCAAAGAAATAATAGTGAAAAGTTAGCAGCAGTGAGAAAAAAAAAATAGAGGGAAGAGATCTCTCCCTTATGATGGCAGTAAAACATTGCATCAGTGCAAGCTGGTGGTACACAATCTTCATCAGGCCAAGGCAAAGACAAATGGGAGAATGAGAGGAAAATCCAATAACAGAGGAGTACCGATAATACCATAGACCTGCATTGTATCATCTGTATCACTAAAATAAAGTTAATGTGCAAAAGTCTTAAGATTTACAGCAGTGCTGGTCTCACAGCCTTCAGCCATAGTTGTAGTTGCAGAGGATTTAACAACCAGCCCTCCCAAAGCAAAATCAGTGCAACTTCACCTCCTACAGTTCACCTTAGCAAAAACCAGGAAACATAAAGGCTACTACGATGTCTGTTCTTAGATACAACTACTGCAATTCGTTACTAATTTTAAAAGCCTCTTAATCTGTGCTCCTGCTGAGTTCAATGTCCCACCTCCCCTGCCCTTTTACTGACACTACAACTACCGCGTACTTAAGTCTTAAATACAGAGAGATCAGCCATAAAGTTTCAAGAGAGAGCTTCCACTGTAAAAGGCATGGCAGCATAAATTCAGCTATCAAGAAAAAGTCTGCCACTATTTCTGCTAAAACAAGGCATTTTTATTGGTAATTAAGGACTGGAACTGCAGTAATCACACACGAGAAATCTGACTGTAGTTGTTACCGCTTCTTGTACGCTAAAAGACAAAAACTTTTATATGCCCCTCAGAGTCACCATGAACCCCAACAGAGAGAACACCAACAGCAGAAAGTAAGACACAGAAAGCCTGTAAGTGTTACACTGTTGTATTCTGCAGAGGGACTTTCTATAGAGGCATGTAGTGACAGGACAAGGCGGAATGGCTTTAAACTGGGAGAGGATAGATTTAGATTACATATTCAGAAGAAATAATTTTTCTGAGGGTGCTGAGGCACTGGTACAGGTTGCCCAGAGAAGCTGTGGCTGCCCCATCCCTGGCAGTGTTCAAGGCCAGGCTGGACGGGGCTTTGAGCAACCTGGTCTAGTGGAAGATGTCCCTGCCCACGGCAGAGGGTTGCAACTGGATGAGCTTCAGGGTCCCTTCCAACACATTCTACGAGTCTATGATTAACCCAGAGGAAAAACACACTGCTGACATAAAGGGTGTTCACATGTTCTTCCCAGATGGCTATTTCAGCAGACCTGCTTTAAGTCACTGTCAGTTGTTCATCAAGTTTCACAGCAAAACTGGTCAGCAGAACTGCCCCTGAAGGCGAAGTAACTTCAGAAACCATTACATGCTTCTGAAGGGAAGGTTTGCGCCCCTTCCTTCCCTCCCTCCCTTCCCTTTAGGAAGTGTAGTGACTTAAGTCTCAGACTTTCTGCACAAGAATACAATTGTGCTCTAGTTGCTGGGGCCATATAAAACATGGAGAACAGCAAACAGATAAACAAATCTGTGCAGGCAGAGGAAACAGGACTATGAAATATTAAAGCACGGGGACTGAGACATCCTCAGGGAAACTGCCTTCACTAAATTACACATAGGTATGCAGTGGAAGCATAGTATCTCCAGAGAATGATGTGAGGACATGCTATGAGAGCACCCAGGCTCCGGGAACACATGCAGAAACATAGAAAACTATTTCTCCTTGGAACGCAGTGAACATACACACAGGAGTTAATAAAAACATATGCAGAAGTGCTCTGAATTATCAAGGCAGGGGGGTTGGAACTAGATGATCTTAAGGTCCTTTCCAACCCTAACTATTCTATGATTCTACGATTCTAAGATGAGTCAATCTGTTTATTGCTGCCTACCTACCTACTACAGGGTGATGGCTATGCTCCAAAATCTCTCAATAACTTGCTTTAGGCTTCTTCTTGCCTTAGAACATCAACCCACTGATTAACCGAACACTTATCCCGAAGCGAGCCGCACAGGATGGGCCTACCGCCGGTCCCCTTCCCTCGTTCCCTCACCTATAGGAGACCTACCCAACTGCAAACGGCAGCGGCACGGCTATCGACCGCGAAGCACAGCGGTCCGCCGGCAGATCGGAGGGTCCCCGCGCAACCCTAACCCCAGCCACCAGCAGCCACCAGCAGCCACCAGCAGCCACCACCACCACAGGCCCGGCGGTCCCCATCCGCGGTCCTCCCGCCTCCCGGCCCCCACGCGTACCTGGGCGAGTCTCGTGCTTAGGCACCCGGTAGTACTTGTTGCCGAACTGGTCGGTGCCCACCAGCTCCTTGTCGGGCCCGAAGAGCCGCAGGCGCAGTGCGCGCAGCGCTTGCCAAGACCAGCTCATCCCGCCAGAGCAAGGCTCACCGCGCGGCACGCAAGATCACCGCCACAACCTACCACCCGCCGCTGCCTCTCAAGCCCCGTCCCCGACGGGTCGCGTCATACGCGCGCGCCGTCCCGTGCCCTGACCTGCCCGGTCGAGCGCACAGCCTGACTCCGCCCATCTGTAGCAGACATGCCAGCAACACCGCTCACCATTGGTGGAGGTCGGCCACCCCTGGCCCAAAATGGCAGAGCAGAGAGGAGTGGCTTCAGGGTTCCGCCATGTTGGGGTTAATTTGGGCTCGTCAGGCCGGGCTCGACGATCCATTGCGGCTGCGCCGGGCCGAGGCTACCCGGAGGTAGCGGGGACCGGTGGGGAGTTAGGGGCGGGTGGGGCTGCGAGCGCGAGGAGGCCCCGGAGGCGGTGGCAGCGGCAGCTCCGGGCGCTGTCGCTTCGGAAGCGCTCACCGACCCAAGCTGTGCTAGGCAGGCCTGAGAAGGGGCTCTGGCCGAGAGGGGAGCTTTGCCCTGCCCCGCCCCGCCCCGCCCCGCTGAGTGCTCCGAGCAGGGGGAGCCGGCAGCCTCCGGAGGCCTCAGCAAAGGCTGCCCTATGTCCGCGGTGCCTTTTCTCGGAGCGTTCCGCGGGGTTTTCAGCTGTGGGGGTCAGCAGCCGTGGGGTGGGCTGAGTAGGGGCAGGGCAAGGAGCTATACCCTCGTCTGTTGCTACCGTAACAGTTTCGCCAGGAATTTTAATGTGTGTGTAGCTGTGCTTTGCTTTGTGAAAAACAAGGTGGATGTGATGCTTGTGCCCCTACAGTTTGTCTTTCCTCTTCCCAAACTTGGCATGTTGGCAGGTTGCAGAAGGGTTTTTTTCTAAGTTCCCAGGAGCTTTTGTGGAAAGTGGTGATTGCATGGAGACGCTTAATTAATATTCCTGCTAAAGATTATAATGTGGTAATTGCTCATTATCAGAGAATCAGTTTTGTACCTGTATTTCGAGATAAAGCAAGTCTCAGTTCAGTCACTCACACAGCTCCAGCAGCAGGAAGGATTTGTGTTGCTCATTTGCAGCTTCTGGGGCTTTGTCATTGTAAAAAAGTTCTAAAAAATTGAGATTACCTTTGGTGATTCAGAAAACTTATTTCTATGTGCATTTTGGCAACACGATTTTACTTCATTTCTGTGCTCTAAGCACTCATAGCATTCATTGTTAAGAAAAGAAGCGTAGTGGGAAGGTTTTATGTTATCTAGACAGCTGTCTACCTAACATTCCCCATCCTAAGCGTTTTAATTTTGACTTTAAAAATAATCTGTAGTCTTCAGTAGATTGTATTTATAACTTAATTTTAAAGTAATTTGTTTTAAAACATTTCCTTTGGGGGATTTATTGCTTCATTAAAATTCAGTCTTGACCTCAAAAGTTTTAAACTAGGTATCTTGTATACGTCAAAATTCTTGTTCTAGGTGAATTCTTGCATACTTACATTTAACTTATTTTGAAGGAGCTTAAATGACTCACTGCTTTTGAAGCATGCCTTGAGACTTGCTATTGGGGGTCTGCCTGTAACAGCCTATGTTTCTTGCGTCATGATTTTTGCAGCTGAAGCAAAGTAAGGGCACTTGGCTTTACAGCTTCTCAATTATCTACTTGGTTACACTTTTGTTGATAGCAGTTTTTACAAAATAGTGCTGTGGGAAGCTCTGGTCATCTTGTAAGGCTAATATTGTATCAGGTAGCATGGCTAAAGGAAGCAGAATCTGTTTCTTTTTTGACTATGTAATATTAGCATATTTATAGATACAGGCTACTACTAAGTAGTGCAAGATCCTAATTGCAGTTAAGAAAAGTTTGCCTCGGGAACTTCATGTGGATAGTGTATTTTTTATTTAATGTTACAGAAAATATACAAACATTGTTTCCTTAAAGGAAATACTGTAATTTGTTATACTGCTGAGTGAATCTGTCCTCCACTAGGTGTCTGTAGTTCCAAGGAATGAATTTGTCCTCCACTAGATGTCCGTAGTTCCAAGTAAACAGAAGCTTGGAAGGATGGTACATCCGGAAGCTTCGAACTAACATTTGTTGCATCTAAAACAACTGCTTCTTAATGCTGCTTTTGCTCACTGTTTGCAAATTACGTCCGTTTTTTTTGTTTTATATCTTGATCCCCAGATGCAGTTTTACTATTTCTTTGAGCCGATTCTACATTTTTATTTCTCTCTTACCTTCAACAAAGTATATATATATTTTTTTTTTCCTTACAAGTTCACAGGACTTAATTCCAGCCCTGTATTGCATCTGTTGTCTCGTTTTGGAAAAAATAACAGGGATGGGTTAAGTGCATTGAGGAAGTGGGAAACTGTGGTTTAAACTGTTCAGAGCACATAGGAACATTTTGAAATTCTGTGCTAGTCTTGTTCATACTTGTTCATAGTTCTGTTTTGGGATTTTTATTGGGTTTTGTTTTTTTTTTTTTGTTTTAAGGGTTCTAAGTTTGGAATTAAATAAAGATAGAGATGTGGAAAGAATACATGGGAGTGGTATCAACACCCTTGATATTGAGCCTGTTGAGGGAAGATAGTAAGTATATATTTTAGTTGGTAAAAATGTATATGAGTACTTCACTGTGTTGGTACTATGGATTTATTTTCTTGTTGAACACTCAATCATATTGAATATATTGAGTGTTGTAGCTTATGTGCTTTGTTAACTCTTTCAGCATGTTATCTGGTGGGTCAGATGGTGTTATTGTGCTTTACGACCTTGAAAACTTGACCAGAGAAAAAAGTTACACATGTAAAGCACTTTGTTCTGTGGGAAGGTAAGTACTCAAAAGTTCTATTAGAATTTTGTAGTGTAACATCTGTTGTGTGACAAATTAATGTGTGTTCTTATTTCTAGGATAAAAGACTAGAAAGATATTTCTAGGATAAAAGACTAGTAGAAAATAGTGCCAGAAATTGTGAAGGCTAGCAGGATGCATTGTGTGTTTTGGCATGCAAAAAGAAGGCAAAACTTTGTATGGATTTATGTGATTTACTAAGTAGCAGGAATAATTGTTTTTTCTTTATTTGCCTAACAGTTGCAATATCCGTACAATGACTGCCTCTTGTAGAAATATTCTTTGCATCCCCCAAGAATATATGGCACGTGTCTCTTTGAATAAATACATGTTTAAGCAAAAGGAAAATTATATTTTCATAATCCTGTTCATCTGGTAGGAAAAAAATCTAATACAGATTTGCAGTTGTTTTATTTCCCATCTGCCTGCTCCAGCTTTACTAATAGCTATTTTAGGTTCACCAGATGCAAAGACAATTAATACAGGACTTCTTAAGAACATGTTTGACAAAGACATGTTTGATGTGAGTGATGAGGCACTGGAACAGGCTGCCCAGGGAAGTTGTGAATGCTGCATCCCTGGTAGTGTTCAAGGCCAGATTGGACAAAGCCTTGGGTGACATGGTTTAGTGTGAGATGTCCCTGCCCATGGCAGGGGGGTTGGAACTAGATGATCTTAAGGTCCTTTCCAACCCTAACTATTCTATGATTCCGTGAAAGACAGATGCATTACTGACAAAAATGAGACATTTCTGAAGAACAGGGTACTACCATACTTTATGTAATCTATACAAAGACTCAAACCTTTATTGACTTGTCTGGGTTTCACTGCAGGCAGTATAACTTTCTCTGTTGTGATCATTAAGTCTTCTAGGAAAAGCTTTTTTCCTTGTTTTTAGATAGCAAAGTTATCTAGTGGGTGAGGGCTTTATCTGAGATTCACTAAATATGTCCTACTGTGCAAAAGATTAGTAGCTACGTTTTCCCTTATTTTTTTGTAGTCTTCAAATTACTTGTGGTCTAAGAGCTTTATGTGTAAGACTGACAAGAGTAGAACAGATTTGTAAAAGTAAAAGGCCTAAATGGTATCTCGGGCGGTAAGAACGAGAAAGGGTAATAGAACATGCATCAAAACCAGTGAATAGGAACAGAATTTACTGCAAGTCAGCTGCATTTGGTAAGAGTTCGATGGCTGGGATTTCTTGAACAAAATTAATTAAAACTGTAATTAAGAACAAGTAATAACTATACATACCCAAATCTCAAAATAGAGATGAATTCTGAAACAGATACAGCAAACTGAAGAAATACATGGTGAGAAGACAGCATGGAAACTGGCAAATCCATGCTAAAATGACACTATCATTAACTTCAGTTGGGTCAGTAGAAATATTCCTTACTTGAAAATTCTATTTATGAGCACAGTTGGTAGTCTGTTTCTTTTGTAAGTATTAAGATGCATCTAGACAAGTTTGTTCCTTATCAATTGAGTAGAGGCATAAATCACACTAGTAGAATCTGATTCTGTGTGACACAGTAATGATAGGCTTATTTTGCTATCATTTGTGCATAAAGTGACTATAGTAGGTTTTTTAACCTCAATTATTTGTTTTTAGTTTTCACGTAGCTTTCTAGTACATTTTAAATACTTAGTGTAGCTAATTAGCTACAGATACAACTTCAGATATTGGAATATTATTTGTACAGAGTTCCTGACATTTTAAATGAATTTGTAGTTGGCAATAAGAAATGCTTCCCATCTGACTGTCTGGCTCCTATCTTTGAAGCATATGGTAATGTCATGTTACTAAAGTTAACCCGTATTCCAAGTTTACAATATCACAATGCAACTGTGGTCCCAAAGTTCCTTACAGGAAAAGTAGAGGCCCTTTGAAGCTCTTTATGTATAGACCTTGAACTGGGCCTGCTGAGTTTAGTGCATCCTGATGCCCAGCTGTGATTTAGCCAGTTTCTCTCTAGAATGTAGGGCCACTATTGCAAAACCAAGACCTTTCCTTGTTCCACTGAGAGTCAGCACACAGAGCTTTACATGTTTTTATCGGATCCGTGGTGTTCTGTGACAAGAAGTGACATTTGAGAGTAACTGAACAGTACTAGTTTCTAAGTAATACACAGCTGATGCTTGTCTGTAAGGTAGTCTCTTCTAGTGAAAAGCCTTCAAAGAGGAATGAATGGCAGTGACCTTACTATCCATAGAATTAATTATGTACTTTGGTAGAAAAGTTTGGGATATTCTGTGTAATGGGAGAAAATGGGTATAAAATGCAGCCCTGAGAGATGAAGTTGGGCCGAGTGACATGTAGCTGTTACTAAGCCTAGCCAGATCAAAGACTATTCCTGCAGAGCTTCTCAAGAATATTTTAGTTCATTCCTAAACCCTCTGGATTACGGAAGAAATAATTGCTTTCACTTAGTGCTGGGCACAGTCCAGTGTTGTGCACCTGTACTCTTAATACGAGGATAATTAGTTCCATGAGTTTAGGGTTGTTTTTTTTTAATTCTTCTGCACAGTGCATACAAAAGCCTCTGCAAGAGTAAGTTTGCTCTTAGTCAGGAGTGATTTCCTGGTGCTGCAGGTCTCAAGGATTTTTACCTTGATCCACCTGTAGCATAAGTGCCTAAGATCTGTTCATTTTTGGCACTATGACAAAGTAACAGGCTGCTGTCAGGTATGCCTCAGATAAGTGATGCGGGAGTTACTAAGGAGAGCTCAGCAGTTGCTCAATAGTTCCCACTTGATGTCTTCAGTGCTGGCTTATGGCAAACTATTTAAAGATATCTTCTGTGCTTTCTAGCAACCCAAGTGAGCAGGAAAGTTTACTAGCTTAGGTGTAGTGCCAGATCTGTACAGAAGATCTGCATCTGTGTTTACACAGTGGTAGCCCTGCAATAGTTATTGCTTTGGAGACCAGGACACCTGAGAGAGCAATGCAAAGATAGCTGAGGTGAAGAAATCTGAGCCTTTCTGAGCTGTAGATGGAGCCAGCTATTTTCACAAGTGTATTGCATCTGGCTGGAATGGAGTTCAGTTTCGTCATACTAGCTTGTGTGGTGCTGTGGTTTGGATTTGTGACTGATCTTGCTAACATGCTGTTTTAGCTATTGCTGAACAGTGCTTGTGCAGTGTCACACAGAGTCTGTTCCTCACTGTGCTCCCTTAGCGAGCAGGGTAGGAGTGGACAAAAGGCTAGGAGGGAATACAGCTGACCTGAATTGACCAAAGGGGTATTGATGTTCAATACCATGCAACGTAATGTGCAGCAACAAAATTGAGGGGGGGGAAGTTTTTAAGGGGCTGTCATTTCTCAGGTTCTGGGTCTTAAGGGAGGGATTGCTTTTGCACTGCTTGCCCTTATTTTATTTTTTTTTAAATTTATTGTTTTGTTTACTTTACATATTAAAATGTCTGTATCTCAACCAAGTATTCTCACCTTTGCCATTTGTATTCTGTCCCTCATCCCATTGTGTGTGGGGTGTGAGCAAGCTGCTGTGGTGGTGCTTAGCTGCCTACAGTTAACCCACAACAGCATGGTTAAAAAGGTAAATAATCTGTAGTTTCTTGAAACAAAGGCTCTTGGAAGTAATTAACATTGGTTGATAGAAAATTGAGGCGCTGAAACAACTAGTTCTTTAATACTCCAGTACAAAATTTTGTTAAAGAAGTTTAAGCTATGTTTTCAACTTGTCATCCAATATCAAGACAATTCTAAGATGATTATCAAGACACTAACCAATTGGAATCTTTTCCTTGATCTTAGGAGCCATCCTGATGTACATAAATTCAGTGTGGAGACAGTCCAGTGGTATCCTCATGACACTGGCATGTTTACATCCAGCTCGTTTGATAAAACCTTGAAAATATGGGATACAAATACTTTAAAAGTAAGAGAATTTCTACAAGTTACAGGCTTGTTTATATACGTATTATTCATTCCGCAAATGCAGTTCTCCCAGAGCTCAACAGGACCAGGTATCCAGAGGCTGAAAACTAGTGAATTTTTAGAACTGTGGGTGCAGGTCTGTCATCATTGTTATCATTGCAGGGACACAATAGAGAATAAATTTTGACCTCTTTTTGTCAGATGTGAAGCCATATTTGCAGTTACTAAATCTTTTCATAACTCAAAAGATCAGTTTACTTCCCAGGTAGCTCTGTGGGCATCACTTAAAGGGCAGTGAGCATGTGAAGACTGATTTACCTGTTGTGCCACCAAATGTTGTATTTGAAAACACAGAAAAGTCAGTTTTAAGTTTTTTTTTTTTCAAATACACTTTATTTTAGAATGGGACAACAAAAGCAATTGTTCCTGAAAGTAATTGTGCTGATTATAATGCAAATACAATATTCCTGTAATTTTAACATTCACAATGTTAAATAATTTTCTGTGGTGGTCTTTTTGTGGATTTTTGTTTCAGTTTTGTTGGTTTGGGTGGTTTGGTTTTTTTTGATTCTTTTTTGTTTGTTCTTTTGTTGGGGGTCGGGGTTTTGTTTGATTGAGTTTTTGTTGGGTTTGTTTGGTTGTTTTTTTTAGGAATTGAAGATAGTGTGATGTTTGTGAATGACAAGAGACTTCTAAATTTAGATTAAGTGCTTTCCTCCTCTTGCCTTCTGTCTCCATATCATAACATTCCCATTTGCTGGTGGTTGTTTTTTTTCTTGCTAACTTTTTTTTTTAATAGTTTTCATTTATGCCTCTGAATAGCCAGTTTTCTTGGTCCTTCCTTTGAGTCACCTCAGAGCTCCAGCCTAGTTGTTCTAATCTTGGAAACATACTTACTTTGCAATGTTTGTGTGACGTGGTTTCTAACCAGGAGAGTTATTGTTAGTATGTAAAAAGTAATACTTGTATTGATCTTACTTGTAGCTGTTACTTGAAAAGCTCTTAACAATGAGAATTTTAATTCTGATAACTTGTGCTGTGATTAAATTAAACTTGCTATAAGTCTGCAGATGCCTTTCACTTTAAAGGAACAGTTTATAGCCATCACATGTCTCCAGTTGCTACAAATCATTGTTTAGTAGCAGGTATGTATGTGTTTTTAAGAAATGCCGTATGTATTTTGGTCTTAAAGTATAAGCAGGTGTAATATTCAGTAGGGTTTTTTCCTCTCCCCTGTCTTTGTTCCTTGATAAAATATTATTGGCTAGTTAGGTGTTTATGAAAGTATCACGTTGGTTCTTCTGAAATAATGCATCAGATAAAAATTCCTAGCTATAATTAGATTACTTTTCATTACATAAGTTAGCATTTGAATGTTATTAGATCCAAACATAGTAAACAGTGTAAATGAGCTCTGTGCATGTTGCTTGCATGTCCACAGTTGAGCTATGTTTAGAAAAAAGAAGTTGTGTTTTTTTTTTTAATGTTTAAGTTTAAGTACTGTCCTGTTTACCCCCAGTTTTTAAGTTGTCTGTTATATAGGAAGTTTACTTGGGCTAAAAATATAAATCCATTAATAGAACCCATTGCTCTGACTAAATGAACTATTATGCAGCTAACATTTTTCTTCTCTTTCTTTCTTGTTTTTTTTATTGTTTTCTCAAATGCTGGGTTGATTTAGTTTTTTAGATGTCTTTGTTTGTTTTTCTTGTTACAGTTGGTACCAAAAGCCCCAAAGTACAGCTCTGTGACTTGAAGTCTGGATCTTTTTCTCACATTCTTCAGGGTACTTTTAGTCTGAAACATAAATATTAAACAATAACTACTTTGAGTAAAACAAGTCCTGTAAAGAAACACTGTATACAATGTATTCTTTGTAAGTAACATGACTAATTTATTTATTGCCAGTTGTGAAAGTTACACGGTGGCGAAAGGTTCTTCTGGGTGTTAGTGATAATGAATTGGATAATACAAATACTAATTAATGAACAATTATTACAGATGTTCAGGCGTTTTCATAATCTAATCGATAGTGATAACTATTTAGTACATGTTTAAGCATAGGCAGTGTTTTTGTGCTCATGGAAATTTGATATGGGTTGCTGTTTCTTTTGGGTTTTTGGTGGGATTTTGATTGACCAAACACACACACACACGCAAAAAAAAAAAAATAAAATCAGTCTTTTCAATAAAATATCCTGTGGAGGTGCTTGCATGGCTTTGTTTAGAAGTTTCTGTATAACTGGTGAGTTATTACTCGCTATAGAAGTGTGATATCTAATCCTTTTCATTTACCCAATTCACTAAGCACAGGGGCTTTATTGTTCTCTAAGCCATTCATTTTTGTACTTAATGTTATCTAATATGTACTTTTTGGAGTATGGGTATATATACAAATGCTCAAGTGAAGGCAATTACAAAGTAAATCATCATGCTTCAAACCAGCAGAGCAAGAGCCAGATCTGATCCAGAAACTTTAGAGGCGTGTTAGCTCAGACAGCAATGTGGAAATGCAGCCTTATTTCTTCACTTGGCCAGCTGCTCAAGTCTAAAAGGTGCTTTCATGGGATGCAGAGCTTAAGTCACCAAATCCTTCTGAATTAAATTTGCTGCAAGAGGTATGTCAGTGGTCTGTTTCTAGAACAGAGAGCACCAGAGAGTGCAGACAAAAAAGTTGTTCACTGAAGAATCAGTTTTGTTCCAGCAGAGCTACTTAATTTTGACAGGGGAGTTAGTGCTTTCCAGGAACAAGCTGCTTGTGTCTTTTCTGATATAGTTAACTTGAATGCAGTATTAGGGGAACAAGGAGAAGGAGATTGTCTTCCACTGAACGTAATCATTCTTTACAGAACTTGAACCACTCAATAGTGTCTTGGAAAATAGATATGAACATTTTTTCACATTGACTAACTCTAGCAGCCAAAATAGAGGTAAATGCTTGTCTGTAATTTACTTAATGGATCCAGATAAATGTGTCTGCCCTGGGCCTTCCAATTGTATCTAGTAGTATCTGTGTTACAGATATTTCTTCCATTATCCTGGGCATCATGGCCATTTGATTATTTCAGGTAATGGAAAACCAGCTACTAGAAGATGTGCCAGGAACAAGGTGGTTCACATAGGTTTAAACTGCATTAGCAGAAATATATTTGCTGCAACTTCTATTTGCTATAACTTAGGGTTTTTTTTTTCAACAATGTATTTCTAGTATTACATGAAGCATGATTTCTACCTTTCCATCCAAGATACCTCACACTCCTATTGCCTCTATTTATGAAATGATATTCATCATTTTAAAAACTTGCCAAGTTTCAAAGCATGTGTGTGTATGTACATAATACATATTACTTACCCACTAAGCAGCACTGGGTATGACATTTTATCTTAATGTCTTAATATTTCGGAACTAATTAAGGGAAAAAATACTCCATATTCAGGACAAGAGTATTTGAGCTGGGTGAAGTTTTAAGTCTTAAGTACATAAGATAAATATACTTTTTTATTAAACATTCTGAAAGGATTTGAAGAAAAAGAACTGGAAAGTACCTTCTGCATATGAGAACACCAGTGAAAACATAAAACCTAATAAAAGTATTAGAAGTAAATTGCAATTCCACTTGAGCAAAAGGAAATAACCTCTAGCACAAAATAATACGTTTTCACAAAATTCGAATTCACATTACAATTTAGATAATTGTTCTGGATTGGTGGGTTCTATAGAACAAAGTATTTGCTTTTACTTTTAGTTATTTACATAAAATGGTGTGTATAAGCCTTTTCATTTAACTTTTAGGTCACAGGCAAGAAGTACTGGCAGTGGCTTGGTCCCCACGTCATGAATATGTTTTGGCAACAGGAAGGTAAGGGTGTTGTTGGACTGTTACATGCACTAAAAACATCTGATAGTAGAACTTTATATGTTAATTTTCTGTGGTTTTTACAATTCATATGCACTTTTCAAGTTTATTTCCATCATTTACTTTAACTTAGTCACAGTTTTGAAGGTCTTGCCTAGAAAAAACCCTGAGATCCAAATTATTAGAACCATAGAATAGTTAGGGTTGGAAAGGACCTTAAGATCATCCAGTTCCAACCCCCCTGCCATGGGCAGGGACACCTCCCACTAAACCATGTCACCCAAGGCTCTGTCTAGACTGGCCTTGAACACTACCAGGGATGGAGCATTCACAACTTCCTTGGGCAGCCCATTCGAGTGCCTCACCACCCTTACAGTAAAGAACTTCTTCCTTATATGCAATCTAAACTTCCCCTGTTTAAGATTGTAGGGTTCTGAAACAGTAGCTGGATTTAAATGTATATGAAAATGATAGAATATTATTAAGACACTTACTTTTTACTGTTTATTAGCACTCATATTGCTGATGTGTTTTATAACAAAGTAAAATGTTTAGCTCAAATATCATTCTGGTTAATCACCAGTAATATCAAAGAGCATAACTTGGGTAGCTTAGCTGATGGCTAATAACCTTCCAAGCTGCAGTATTTCTGTGAATATAGGTTGTATGTTGATATTCCTGGGCCTTTTATTTTTTTCAGTCTAAAAGATCCTCTTGACTTTCCTAGAAGTTTTGCATAATTTAGCTTTTAATTATAATGTGACATTACTCAGTTTCATGGTTGACATTTCTTTTCTTTTGAATTGCAGAGATGAATGGCCATTTTATGACTTGATAACTTGAGAGTGAAATTTAATTAAGTTGATATCAGAATTGCACACCTTTGCCTTCTGATGTCAAACCTCTTAATTCAGAGGTGAACCAGTACAAGCCCCAGGAAGCTCAATAAGGCCAAGTGCAAGGTCCTGTACCTGGGTTAGGGTAATCCCAAGAGTAAATACAGGCTGAGCAGAAAATGGATTGAGAGTAGTCCTAAGGAGAAGGACTTGGGGGTGTTAACTGATGAGAAGCTCAGTGTGAGCCAGCAGTATGAGCTTGTAGCCCAGACACTATCCTGGGCTGCATCAAAAGAAGTGTGGTCAGCAGATCAGCAGAGGTGATTCTCCCCCTCTTCTCTGATCTCATGAGATCCAGCTTTGGGGGCCCCAACACAAGAGGACATGGACCTGCTTGAGTGCGTCCAGTGGAAGGTCACAGAGATGGTCAGAAGGCTGGAATATTCTGCTATGAAAACAGGCTGAATTAGTTTTGTTCAGTCTGGAGAACAAAAAGCTCCAGGGAGACCTTACAGCAGCCTTCCAGTACCTAGGCATAGGACATGGGGTAATGGCTTTGAACTGAAATAGCATAGATTCAGATATAGGTATTAGGAGGCAGCTCTTTACTGTGAGGGTGGTAAGGTACTGGCACAGGTTGCCCAGGGAAGCTGTGGCTGCCCCATCCCTGGCAGTGTTCAAGGCCAGGCTGGATGGAGCTTTGAGCAGCCTGGTCTAGTGGAAGGTGTTTCTGCCCGTGGCAGGGGGGTGGAATGAGATGTTCTTTAGTGTCCCGTCCAGCACAAACCATTCTGTGGTTCTGTGATCTCTATTCATATTCTTAGAATATTTGTTTGCTGTAAAGTAACATGCTATCTGCATACTCAGTTGAAATATCACTCGAAATTTAATAGAATCAGTCTGTAGTGTACAGAGGAGCACAAAAGAATAAATCACTCATTAGCTTTGTCAAATATAGAACAGAAAAGTAACAGTTTTGCTTTGGTCAGTTGAAATATACTATTTATATTCGTTATATACTGCACCATTTATGGACAATTAAGTTGCTGGGAAGTGTCCAAGTAGTTTCACTAAATACATCTACACTGATGACTTAGTGCATGGGGAATAGTGTTTTCTGTTAATTTACTTCTCATCTATAACTGGGAATCTTCGGGATGCACACAAAATTATACTACTGGAATGCTTAAATCAAACTGCACTTCAAGGGTCTATGCAAAGTGCACTGCCTGCGGTGTTGCAGTCTGTGTGTATGTAGTCCCAAGAATTACCATAACTTTTGTTGCTGGCAAAGACAAAGGGTGAGCAAAGCATGAACATGTGGTGGCCTGGGAAGCAGAATGAGTCACAGAAGCCTGAAACTCTCCTTGTGCCACCCTGGTGGGCAAAGCCAGAAAGTTTATACAAAAGGAAGAATCACTGTTTCTATGTCATAGTGTGTGAGAACAGAGCATATAACCTATTCAGCCTACATGTCACCAGCCAAGTTCTGTACCAGTCAACTATAGACTTGTGATAGCAAGAGCCTTAGTTCCCAGACAGTCATTACGGAGAGTGATGGAGTCTGTAGCTACGGTTTACTCAACAGAAGAATTAGCATGTTTATTTCTAGTCTGTGTGGGTATGTAAGACTATTGTGCTACTGACAAAGAGGCAAGTATATTGTATTGTAAAAACAGGTTCAATTTTAACTTGGGTGCCTGTAGTGTACTAGCTATGTGTATGAATAATTGTAAATGAATGTCTGAATTCTGACAAAAATCTTTTCATTAAACTATTGGCTTGATTGTGACTGCATAATATGTAGTTCAGAATAGTTGCTGAACCAGGGTGAGTGCAGGTTGGTTGGCTTAAGATAGTTATTGAACTAGAGTGTACACAATTTCCTTAATGTACGCAAATCTGTTTTTCTTAGTGCAGATGGTAGAGTGAAATTATGGGACGTGAGGAGAGCATCTGGATGTCTGAGTACACTTGATCAGCACAATGGAGAAAAGTCCAAAGCATCTTCGGAGGCAGGTAATACAGAATATAATTGGTGGTAATCTGTAGGTAACTAGAAGTAGTCTTATATTTCATAGATGTATTGAGTGCTAAAACTATCAAGAACAGTAGTGATAATCCAGTTATTGTCTATTGTGTGACACTAGCCATTGAATTTTATTCAGTTACTTCTGTTACAGAGGCAGTGTTTGTCACTGGGGATCTTGCTTAGAGAGATGTCTTTGGCCGTGGTATTGTATCATTCTAAATGTTCCCCCCCACACCTAAAATGGGAAAAATTGCCATCTGTTTTATGGACAAAAGAATTTACTCCTGCTGGAGGTGAGGCAATTGTTTCATATTTCGCAAGCTGTGTCATGTTAAGGTGGTGTCTTTACCCCAGTGAGAGGCTTATCTCCCTATAAGGGGGAGGATTTCACCCCTTCACCTCTAAGTTTGATGCATTTATTACTATCCCAGGAAGAGCAAGACCTTTGAGACTCTTGAGCCTGATTAGCCTATCAGAGCCCTCTGCGAGCACTCCTCTGGACAGCACACTATATCAGAAGGTGATTCCTACTCTTCTATTCAGAATACACAGCAACAGATTCACCCATCAAGTTAAAAATTTTCTAAGTTTTTAAGCCAACTTTAAGCCAATTTAAATATCTGAAAACTCAAGACAAAATAGATCTTAACTGAGCACTTCTATTATATAATTTTGACAGTTTTAAGGTTCAAATGTTACTGGTAACAATATAATATGGTAACTCAAATAAACAACATGAAAATAATGTATAAAGCCATTCAAAATAATGCATAAAGCTAAAATTCAATCATTAAATGTGCACAAATGTGTACATTTCTTAGCCAGTAAGTGTCCCTGTCTGGGGGGAGAAGTCGGGTTCAGACCATCAGCTGATCCGAATAGTTACGCTGGAGTCTTCCCTAATTTTACATACATACACACACACACCCTTAATTTTGCTTACTTATGTGATTTAGTGTGAATTAGTAACTTTCCACACTATCACCCTACCTCGTTTTTACTGATTGGTCTACCAATGTGCATAAGGATTACATTATTAAATGCCTAACTATGTATGGTCCTAGGAGAGTCTCCTGACCTGGGCAGGGGTCTTTGGAGCTATGGGTATGACTTTTAGTATTAAAATGAGGCTGTAATGAGGGAAGTTTACCAAAAGGGCACCTAATCTTCTATTTCTGACTCATGAAAAATATTTTGACAATTGTCCTGGTGTTATCAGGATGTAGCAGACTTCAATGATAGTATTTCTTGATTAGAGGTTCATTAGTCTAGTTTTTCTCAGTCTTGTTTTTCTGTCAGCCTACAGAGGAAGCCAAAGCTTCTCCAGCTATCAGTTCTCATTGTGACTCACTATTGTTTTTCAGGTCTCCTGATCCTTTCAGGGTCTTTCACAGTAATACAGGTTTTAATTTCTTAACTAAATACCTATGGAATTGTAACTATATATTATTATAGAGTTTATGCCTATGGAGTTTTAACTATGGAGCTTGGGTGGCTCTAGTCGTACATATTTTGGTGTGAAATTCTCTCACTTTACAATCATTGTCTGTCAGCTGCTCAGAGATTTATCAGTACATGGTGTCTTCATATCCCTGCACTTTCAGGGACTATAATAGCCTGTCCACAGTGTCTTCACTCTGCTCCACTCTCTGTTTGGTTTATTGTAGCATGTGCTAAGGTTGCAGGGTTGCCTGAAGAACTGTTGTAGGGTAGATTGTGTGCATGCTAACCACATTCCATCCCAGAAGTAGCAGCTGCATTTTACCCTAAAATTTCTTTAGTATTACAAAAGAGTTTAGTATTACAAAAAAAAAGCCTGAAGAAAACCCAACCCTAATTCAAAGGGAAGGTTTTGAACTTAAAATTATAGCTCATTTTTTTGTCAGTTCTGGACAAAAAAGACATAATTTTGTCAGGCCAAAAAAGTACTTGAACCATTGCTGCTCTGAGGTAAAAATACATAGTATTTGAAATTGAATTGTAAAATAGGAACTGTTTCATGCCTCTGAACAAAGGGGGTTTTGTAACACAGATTACAGTGATTAAAGCATACAACTTTGTCTCACTTGTATGTGTAACTTAAATTGTATGTAGAAAAATACATGTAAAACTCTAAAGTCAAACTAATTTTGTAAAATGTCAGAGGACATGAAGTAGCAGTAAGTATATGTTTTAATAATCATTCTCTAATCTCTCTGCTGCATAAATTGTAGTGTAATATCAAGGTTTGGTTTTGACAATTTGACATTTTATTGAAATTCAAGAAACTACTGAGGTGAAAATGCTTTAAAGAAATCTATGGATTATGAAAGAAGAAAAAATCTGGGCAGATTGTTTTATGAAAATTTGAATTCTGTGTAATTCACAAGATAATTAGTGCCATTCCTTTGAGTGTCATGATGTCTTATTTAAACACAACTTTCTTTGTAACTTTATTTCTCTGAGAGCTTCAAGATAATATTTAACTAATGGCAATCAAGTAGACTAGGATATTAAATGCATTGAAATGTAGCTTAGCTAAGCTAAATGTGGCTTTTTCTAATAAAGTCTTTGAAAAACAGTTAACACTTCTTACCTAAGAGGCATGTCTGAATTGTGTACTGCAGTATAATGCAGTGATACCTTGTCCATTTTGCAGGGAGTTCATTTATGGGCATCATAATTAGGTTTGCTTTGGTAGCACTGGGTTGAATTTAGCTACTTGAATATATGTAAGAATGTACAGTATTGCAAGATGAACTAAGTGGAGTTAATTGATAGTACTCTGTAAAAAATATAGAATAGACCTACAGTGATTTTGTAGTCCAGCTGCCTATCCACTTCAGGGGTGACCAAAAGCTAAAGCATCTTACTAAGGGCGTTATCCAAATGCCTCTTAAACACTGACAGACTCGGGACATCATCCACATCTCTAGGAAGCCTGTTCCAGGGTTTGACCACAGCAGTAAAGAAATGCTTCCTAATGTCCGATCTAAACCTTCCCTGGTGCAGCTTTGAACCATTCCCATGTGTCCTTTCACTGGATCCCAGGCAGAAGAGCCCAGCATCTCCCTTTCCGCTTCCCCTCCTGAGGAAGCTGTAGAGAGCAATGAGGTAACCCCTCAGCTTCCTTGTCTCCAAACTAAACAAGCCCTAAGTCTTCAGCTGCTGCTCACAGGACATGCCCTCCAGCCCTTCCAGCAGCTTTGCTGTCCTCTTCTGGAGGCATTCAAGGGCCTTCACATCCTTCTTCAATGGTGGGCCCAGCACAGCACACAGGGCTCCACGGGAGGCTGCACCAACACTGAATACAGTAGGAGAATCGCATCTTTTGACTGGCTGGTCATACTGTGTGATGCACCCAGGGTATGGTTTGCCGTCCTGCCTGCCAGGGCACAATCCTGTTGAGCTTAGCATCAAACCAGCACCCAGAGCTCCCTTTCTGCAAGGCTGATCCCCAGCCACTCCTTTCCCAGTTCATACTTGTGCCCTGTGTTACTCTGTCCTAGGTGCAGAATTTGGCGTTTGGATGTGTTACATTTCATCCCATTCATTGCCCAATGCTGCAATCTACCTAGATTGCTCTGCAAGGCGTCTCCCAGTTTGGTATCATCAGCAAACTCTAATGGTGCATTCAGCCCCAGCATCCAGATCATTGATAAATATATTAAACAGAACTGGCCCTAGAATTGAACCCTGAGGAACACCACTAGTGACTGATCACGAGCCACACTTTTATAAACCAAGAATTTAAAATTATTAATTTACAGATACATTGACATTTAAATAACATTTTCAGTACTATGCATAGAAATAAAAATGTGTATACAAATAGTAATTATTCTGAAGAAATCTGAAGCAGGTTTTTTTTTTCCCTCACAGCAAACAGTGCTCACACTGGGAGGGTTAATGGTTTATGCTATACAAATGATGGACTTCATCTGTTAACCACTGGTACAGATGATCGGATGCGACTCTGGAACAGCTTCACTGGAGAAAATACATTAGTAAGTTATTGAGGATCTTCAGCTGTGTTTTTACTTCCTTTACTTAAGTAAAGCTTTACTTGCCTTTTTTTACTTACTTAGAAGATTTATAATTTGTGCAATTGTCATTATAACTTTGCATATTCATTTCATAAAGGATATAGCTGCTTAATCTTATCATTAGAAGATTGAGCTTTTATTTTTTCAAATTTCTTTTGATATTTCTTTTGTTATTTCTACTTAGTAAAAAAAATAGTATCAAGAAGCTTGGGTCTACTTAAAGATTGAATATGGTAGCTTCTCATGGTTTAAGCACAGTCAGCCATGCAGCTGCTCACTTACTCCCCCCACCCCACCCACCCCCACCTCCCTCCTGCTGCTCACCACCTGCCAACTGATACCCAGCCTGACCTGAGCAGCAATCTAGCCCTTCTGGGTAACTGCCCCCAGTTTATATACTGGGCATGACATGCTGTGGTATGGAATACCTCCTTGGTTAGTTTGGGTCAGGTGTCCTGTCTCTGCTTCCTCCTGGCTTCCCCTCCTCCCTGGCAGAGCACGAGACTCAGAATGTCCTTGGTCAGAGTAAACATTACTGAGCAGCAACTAAAAACACTGGTGTTATCAGTGCTGTTCCCAGGCGGAAAGTCAAAACCACAGCACTGCACCAGCTACTAAGGAGAAAAAATGACTGCTACTGATGAACCCAGGATGTAACTTTAAGTTCTTTTTGTGAGTGCAGCTGAAAACACTTCAGACAGTAATAAAAATCTTAATATGTAGTGACTATTGGTAGAAATGTTTATATTCTTTTTTTAACTGTTAGTTATCAGTGTGCTAGCCACAGGGCAGTTGTCCATACGTGATTGACTCCCTGGCTTTCTTGCAACTTTGTATTCTTGTGGAATCTCTTCTGTGAAGTTGTGTAGCAATCTTAAAAGTATTTATTCCTCTACATCCTCATTGCAACCAGATGTGGAGGGAGGAATATTAATCTTCGCTGCTTTTCCAGCGCTTTCTATTGCTTGCTTTTTGCTAAAGGTTCCTGTTTTAATTTTCTGTTCAGTAAATATATGCTTATTTTGAAAGAATGTACTAGATAACTCAGTTTCTGTGGGATTGTAGCCAGATGTAGTTATGGTCTGTCACTGCTAGCAGAAAAGGAAGAAATTTTACTCTACCTTAGTAATATTTTACTTCTGCTGCTGAGTTTCAGAACACAGCAAGAATAATTCTTTATAGACATTTAAATGAAAGAATTTTTCTGCCTCCTTGCTACCCATATTTGCCAGCTTGTTCTCAGGACTTCATATACAGACACCTTTCTGTCTTGAAATCACCATCACAAAAGTAGAAAATGCAGTTTGTTCACTCTCCTGTCACCAGCTGGATCAGTATATTCTAGTTTTCTGTGCCTGTTAGTTTGTTAACTTGTTTCACAGGCTATTTTACAATTTTCTCTTTGGTGTGGAATAGCTTGATATCTTGCTTTGATTTTTCAAGTTTAGAGTTATAGTGTCCAGAGTACTGTTTTTTCACACATGGCCCAGAGGTATTGCTTAAACTAATGTTAAGGCACCAGCAGACAAATGCGTGTGCATGTCATACCATAGTGCCTTTATTTTCCCTGCTAGCGCCAGTCCTTTTGATCTCGAGAGGGGGTTGGGGGGGTGGTTTTTTTTTATATTTTTAGCAATGAGCCAAATTTGGGGCCTAGTGGATCATTTCAGCTAGTAAGAGAAATGGATATTGTAGTCTTGTGTATCTTGCATACATCCTTTTTCACAAAAAGAATAGGAAGTCCTGATTCACTGAGCATAGCAAGAATCAAATAGAAGGAAGCAGTTTTCCTGTTTGAGGTTTAAGCAAGAAGCTTTAAATTGACCCAGAGAGCTTTGCTAAACTGTGTGTGTAATCAGATCTCTGCTTTTTGCAGCAGAAATTAAGAGGACAGTAAGAAATTAATATGAAATTAATAAGAGTATTGTAGGACAATACTTTTTGAAAACAAAATATTTTGTATATAATGGTATGTAGTACTAATTTAATTTAAAACACCATTATTAGAAGGAATACTACCATTAAATCATAAAATAAGATATGAATTTAAGGTGTTCATAGTGAACTTCTTCATGGAAGAAAGTTTTGTGAAAATTCTAATGCTTTGTTTTGCTTAGAGGTAAGCTATGTTGTTCTCATTAATGTGTTTCTGTATTTTCTCATGTATGTGTTCCTGATGTCTGATAGGACCTAATTAGACTGATATATCCAACTGGAATATATCCTAGCATGTCTGGAAACTTTTCACTTTCAGCCTTTGGTGAGATTATTGTTTGTATTGGAGCTTGAAATGAACAGATGCTAATGAGCTATACAACTTACAGTACTTCTATTTTCAAGGCTTCCCACACACGTCACAGGCCAGGGCTTAGAAATGTAGTATTTGCAATTATCATAGCTTCCCTTATAGGGAGCAGTACTGAATATCTCAGTGGTGATTTGGCTTTGGCTAGAAGATAGGGATTTTTTTTTTTTTTGTTTCCCCCCCCCCCCCCCCCGCTTAACGAGTCCATAATTCAGCAAGCTATTCTTTGTTTCTCCTCCATAAATCTTTCTTCTAATCCCTTTGCTTTGCCCTTTACTTATGCCATCCTTCTGCTTGCCCTTCAGTTGTTTTCAGTACTGCCTAGTCATCTTCTACTGTTTCTTAGTAATCCATGAGGAACAGCTGAGAGAGCTGGGGTTCAGTGTGAAGAAGAGAATGCTCTGGGGAGGCCTTAAAGGAGCTTCCAGTACCAGTCTTCTTTGCCCCTCTGCTCTGGTGAGACCCCACCTGGAATACTGCACTCAGCTCTGGAGTCCTCAGTACAGGAAAGATACGGACCTATTAGGGCAGGTCCAGAGGAGGGCCACAAAAATGATCAGAGGGCTAGAGCACCTCTCCTATAAAGAAGCGCTGAGAGAGTTGGGTTTCTTCAGCCTGGAGAAGAGAAGATGCCAGGGAGACCTTGTTGCAGCCTTTCAGTTCTTAAAAGGGGCCTAAAAGAAAGATGGGGAGAGAGTTTTTAGCAGGGCCTGTTGTGACAGGATGAAGGGTGATGGTTTTAAACTAAAAGAGGGGAGATTCAGGCTGGACATGGGGAAGACTTTTTACAGTGAAGGGTGGTAAAACACTGGCACAGGTTTCCCAGAGGGGTGGTTGATGTGCCATCCCTGAAGACATTCAAGGCCAGGCTCAGTGGGGTTCTGGGCAAGCTGATATAGCTCAAGATATCCCTGGAGGTTGCTGGAGGTTGGACTAGGTGACTTTTGAAGATCACTTCCAGCCCAAACTGTTCTATGATTTTATGATTTATCTACTGTTGTGCATAGGTAGTTCTTCAAATACCTGAGAAAAAATTATTATGTTGGATCATCTAGGAAAATATCTGAGGCAGTAATTTTGTACCACTTCTAATTTCAGTGGTAGTCTAGGTGCTTGGTGTAGATCTGGCACACAACAGCCTGTGCGAATTCAGTTTCTAAGTGTGAAATTCCTTAGTTTTAGACATAACTTTCTCCTTTTTTTTTTTAAGTATGATATTAAGGAGAGTGAAATTTAATGAACAGAAAAATGGTAGACATCTGTAATTGGAAATCTCAAGAGTTGTAATATTGCAAATCTTAAAATTACTTTTATTGGGTATAAAAGAAGGAATTAATTTGACCTTTTAATGTAAAGTCATTTTCTGTAGTTTTAGTTAATAGCTAACTGAATAATCCTTCATTTTACAGGTGAATTATGGGAAAGTCTGCAATGAAAGCAGAAAGGGACTCAAATTCACCATCTCTTGTGGCTGTGATCCGGAGTTTGCCTTTGTACCATATGATAGTACCATTGCTGTTTACACAGTTTTCACAGGAGAACTGATAACTATGCTTAGAGGGCATTACACTGCTGTCAACTGCTGTGTATTTCAGCCTAATTTTCAGGTGAGTAAAGTACAAACTATTTCAGAGAACCTGAAGTATTTATGCAGATTGCCAAACCATTTGCACAGTAAGTGTTAAACTTTCAGGGATATGCTCGAATCAAAGATCTTGACATAAGAGGGAGTTCTGTGTCTTGTGTATCAAGCAAGAAAGGTTGGCTAAGTTATTGGGAGGACCCTTTCCATCTTGGATTCCTTTCAGTATGCATTTTGTCTCATATATAACTTTTCAGTATACCTATATGATTTTTTTTGGCTTATACTGTCACTAATAAATGGTATGCATTAAAGCTTTTGCCTGTTTTCTGTACGACTGAAGAGGAGGCATTTGTCTTTCTCTGAGATACCCAACACTAATCATAGTTAGAAAGAGAAGTACATTTAGCTGAAGTGTACTAGCATTGCTGTCCTGTCCTGAGAATCTCTCAAGTACTTTGCAGAGGTGGTCTTGCTCAAATGCCTTTAGTTATATTAGTCAGTAAATGTATGAGCAGTTTGGATGAAGCGTTGGGAAGATGGTGAGCTTCTTAAATTAAGCTGAGAACATTTCATCTAAGAAACACCATAGCATTGCAAGGACTCAGGTTGCTGACAGCCTTTTTTTTCCTTTCCCAGCCCTTTATGTTTTTGGTTTGTTGTTTTTTTTCTTCTCCCCTGTGGTGAACCTTTCTTTTGTAATAAAAGACTTAGGGATAACCGCCTAATTTATTATGAGATACATTGCAACAGATTGTTCTTACGGATTGTGGTATGGCAAGAGCAGAGTAGATGTTAGTATGGCTTTTAAGGCTCTTAAATAATTGCCCTCAGGTGTTGAGGATTGTACTTAAGTTCCAGCTCCTCCTTTCTCATCTGAAATACGAAGCAGAAAGGGCATATGGATATCTTTTCATGACCTCTCATACAATATATCATAGAAGTGAATCTGGTAGCCCTTGCTTTGAGTCCAGGAACTTTAACTGAAACAATGTTTCCCTGTCACCAAGATGGACTTCACTGAAAGTTTTGCACGCCTTATGGCTGGACCAATAGAACCCAAGTTAGTAAGCCTTGCTAGCCCTGGAAGGCAGCCTGGCATGAATAGGCAGTGAGATACTAGATCCACTGAAAGGTGGAATATTCACATTATAGCTAAGGCATATCTCTTCTGCACTGTTCTTGACTAGTTTAAAAAGCCCTTTGTATTTTTAAGAACAGTTTCCCAACAAAATTGCTAGTGTGTTTATATTAAGTCATCTTTGGTGTTCTTTTTGATAAGGCTGAAGAGGTGAGGCTCATTGAATCTCACTACAAGTCATGTTTTCTGGCCCTGGAAATGCAAATGTCTTTATAGTGTCTCTATCTTGACTTTTAAGATCTTTAGTAAAGGATCACTCGTGTGCATGCTCACACAAGAACTGCATCAGCCGCTAGGACTATAGGTTTATGTTGACAAACACTTGATTCACGTACCTATTGCGGTTCCTAATTCTCTTTCAGAGTCATGCTTTTTCAAAATCCAGTTCTATATTCTAGAAGCACAAGTGGATTTTCTTTCTTTTTTTTCTTTACTCTGCTTTTGGTTGTATTAAACTGTATTAAGTTGTATTAAACTCTGATCGAATAACATTGCTACAGTCAGTGTGCCAACACCACAGGTAGTGGTAGTGTTATTTTGACTGTGTTCAACACCTATACTTCTAGTTAGCTCATTCTGTCTTGAGACAATTAAGTACATCCATCAGTCTTCATGTAATTACTGATTTCCCAGTTAATATTCCTTTTCTGAGAATGCAGCAATTGGTAAAATTTATAGTAACCTGTTTTATTTTACTCTTGCAAGCAATTTTAAATCAATATGTTTGAAAGTTATTCACAGCTGTGCGTCTCTATTTTCAGGTACTAGTTGTAGATAAAATCAGTTTTACTTAACAAAACCTGCTTTGTAGCAAACCATGTTGAATGATCTTGTTTGTACTCTTATATCTTTACTCTGAAGTAACTGAATTATTTAATCACCTGTTCCATTGTCTTGTTTAGAATGAAAGAAAGTTAGTTCATTTGTATCTGTATCATTCCACTTTATTTTTTGCCCCTGAATGGCATATTGATTTACTTCTAACTTTGTAGTGCTTCAAAACATATTAAAACATAATTATCTTGTCTAAGAAAACTTCTGCTTGGTCTACTCTTCTAAGTTTCTCTGTTATTCATCTAGTGGTGGAATAGATAGTAGGTGGTTTCTAGCACTTATTTATTAGCACATTTGATATTAGTACACTGTCTTCATAGGAAACAAGGCCTACAACTTTTCCTTATAGTTTCTACCATTTCCATCTAGTATTGAGTCTCTTGTTAAGAGTTTTCTTGTATTGATAGTCTTCTAAACACTTTCGGCTGTCTTTAACCTTGCTGAGTGATTTTTTTTTTTTTTTTTTTTTTTGTTTTGTCCTACCCACCCTCACATTTGGTCCTTAGGTATTCTTACTACTTTTTTGTGTGCTCAGAACTTCTGATTGCTGCCAGTCCTTTATGTTTTCTGTTCATTAATTGTGTTTTAATTACTACCTTACTTTTACCTCATACCTGGAATAGGATCTAAAAGGAACTTCATCTTTCCACCAATTACATATTTGAGGTGAGAAGCTTCTTCTGTTTGCTCAAAACCATATCATCAAATATGATCACTGATACATAAGCAACTACCTATTTGCAGTGCAATGACATTAGTTCTTTAGGTCCAAATTAATTAGCAGGTTTGTGTCTGAGGTATTGTGTGGTGCTATCTCCACAGAGTGGTGTGAGGTTTAGTTAATGTCTCTTTTGAGAACATTGGAATAGAGCCATAAAATCCAATATGTTATTGTTGGCCTAAATTGTTCTTACGTAAATATCTCTGTAAAGTTAATAAGATGTTAGTCTGCTTGAGTAATAAGAACTGCAGAATTTGACCCTTTAATAAGAGCCATTAACTTAATAGGAGGTCGGTAATTTCAGGGGTGGTGTGGAAGAGGTAATCTTCATTGTGCAATCTCTTACATGATGTTTACTGTTGGATGTAATATACTAGGTACCATTGTGCCATATTAACTGCTTAAAATAATTTAAATAAACAGACAAGGAATGGCGTAAATCACCATGTGTGAATAACATGTCATAAGATTAGGTATGCATCAGGAAACAATTTTGCTTTAAATTTATAGATACTTCTATTGTTCAATAGACATGTTCAAATGACATGTTCAATAGACGTTCAAAACATACCAATGACATTTACAAAGTTGTTTGGCAAATCCAGTGGTAGGCTAATAACTAAACATAACTGGTTAAATCGGGTTTCATTTGCAATCTTTCCTTGGAGTCGTAAAGCATAATATTTCCATATATTGTTCCATAAACATGTAGAACAATATATGTGTATGTCTTACACTACATCATGTACATACTGGCACTTCTTTTGACTGACTTTAGGAATGAGTCACCATTTCAGGCTGTAATCATTAATTGTAAGTATTACTCAATGCAGTGGATATTAACTGAAGATCTTGCAATGCCAGGATCAGAAAGTGAGACAGGTGGTAATAAAGACTAAATGGAAGTATGCTGATGTCACTAACATTGCCTACAAGCAGAGAATTTGGTGTGGGAAGAAGTTTTCAAGTTGTAATGATAATCTCTATCCTTTCAAAGACAGGAGGCTTGAGTAGACTATTACTGACATGATGAAGTAGGATTTGATTTGTGTGTTGGTGTAACTTTGACCTGTCTTTAGCAAGATAGGTAGAATATTTCTCTCATAAAATAATAAACACTAATCTTGCATGTGTTTTGTGTACAAACAACTTAATGCATGGGACCAGTTTAATCAAAGTCATCTCTCTTGAAGATTACCACATAAATGCGTATTTATAGGAATTAGGCACTAAGTTCATGCACTGTCAGCGTAATTCATAGAATTGTAGAATGGTTAGGGTTGGAAAAGACCTTAAGACCATCCAGTTCCAACCCTAGTGTGAGGGATGCCTCACACTAGACCACGTTGCTCAAGGCTCTGTCCATCCGGGCCTTGAACACCGCCAGGGATGGAGCATAAACTTCTTTAGGCAACCCATTCCAGTGCCTCACCACCCTCACAGTAAAGAGCTTCTTCCTTGTATTTCACCTGAACTTCCCTGTTTAAGTTTGAACCCATTACCTCTTGACCTATCACTACAGCCCCTAATGAGGAGTCCTTCTCCAGCATACTTGTAGGCCCTTCAGGTACTGGAAGGCTGCTAAGAGGTCCCACACAGCTTCTCTTCTCCAGGCTGAACAGCCCCAGCTTTCTCAGCCTGTCTTCATACAGGAGGTGCTATAGCCCCTGATCATCCTTGTGGCCCTCTCTGGACTTGTTCCCACAGCTCCGTGTCACTTTTGTTGATGGCACCAGAACTGCAGAAGATGGCATGGAGAAAACACAAGGATGGAAAGAGATGTATGAGACAAAAAGGATAAAATTATGAAAGACGGAATAATTATCCCAATAGGAATGGAGCCCAAGATCTCATGGGAACGGCACTGTAATATTTCTTTACATGTTGGTTTCTCCCCTATTACAGAACAATTATAATGCAGGTATCAGTCAAGATTTCAGATATCAAAGTCCTTAGAGTTTTTATATAATTCATGCAGTTCTAGAATTAAATATGCATAATAAAGCAACTTTCTGCAAAGACAGAACTGAAATAATTTATTGAGCTTACATTGAATCAATGTCTTAGTAATGTGCCCATATGCACGGAGTTGTTTAAGTGTAAAAGCCAACATGCTTAAAGTAAGGCTTTCTTATTGTCAGCCTGAATACCCAAAAAATACTTGTATGTTTCACTCGGGCAGTATAAATTCATGGAAATACATGTTGTCAGACATTGCATATAACATGCAGGAGTATGATTCAAGATTGAAGGCATATGAGAATATCTTCATCCACGTTCATTTAAGTAGCACTTTGTAAAATAAAAGCATTATTAGTGCAAAATTTACTGTGAAGTTGGTGAAGTATTTCTCATTAGCAAAATTTCCTTAGTTTGAAGTGGCAGAGAAGTCTGTGTTTCATTAAATAAAGAAGAAAATTAAGCTGTATTTGACTGTTAGCTGTTTGCTGTAGAGACTGTTTGTTTCCATGTGTTTGCAGGGTGCCTTGCACAGTGGGATCTCAGTCCTTAGTTGCTACCATAGTTATTTATATTAAAAATAATAAATTAGTCTTTCTGATTTCTGCCTTCTCAACAGGGTACAGGCTTCAAACTGTCCTTTATTTGTTCTTTTTCTTCCATAGGCGTACTGAAAAAAACTTTACTTAATGTTTCTTTGTTCCATATGTATGTAATCTTAACATGTGTTACTAGATGCTTTTGAGTTGATTCATATTTTTTAATTATAATAAGGAATCTCTTCCCTCCCCCCACTTTTTTTCCCCTTCTCTATTGAGCATAAATCATTTCTTAAGCTTCCTTACTTGAAATGTTTTCTCAGGAAACACGAGAGAGCAAAGAATAAAAGTGAATTTAAGCAATAAAGTTCGCTTAAACGTGGGTAGTACTCTTTTAGTGAGCAATCTGGGAATTATGTTGTGGCATATTATTTAAAATACCGTTTTATCAAGATTACAGTACAAATTAGAGATTGCATGTTTTTCTTTATTTTAAAATAAATCTTTCAGACATCTGTATTCCCAGCATTATATCTATGTCACTGTTCAATAAGTTCATGTAAAAGTAATTTTTGCTTACTTTTTTAAAGGAACTTTATAGTGGTAGCAGAGATTGCAATATCCTTGCATGGATACCAGCTCTTCGAGAGCCAGTTCCTGATGATGCTTCTGAAAAGGTAATGAATTTGTGAGTTTGAACTATATTTTTCACAGGTGTTAGACTTGGAGAGGCAGTGTGGAAATTAAATAGGAATTGTGTTTTACCATCAAAATCTGTGATAATTCCTGATTAAGAGAAGAATTGTCCATTATTTCTGCATAATTTTTGGTTGTCGTGGAGTTTCAGGAGGGTGTTTTCTTTCAGAGTCTGTAAAATCTTTAGCAAACTTCTCACTTTTCAGTTACTTAAAAGTAGTACTTGTCATTTGGTTATCAGTCTTTCAGTGTCTATTTAGCTTCCTTAATATCCACACGTTTTCTGTAGTTAACGCTATTTAGGAATTGAAGAGGTGCCAAAAACTGTGTTTTAAATTGTTTAAGAACATCCTGTGTATTAAACAGTAAGATTAGGGGTACTACATTTCATACACAAATATTTTGATGCAGAAATTTAATAAAGAAGATTCTAAGCAAGCTTATTTTAGTGTCTGAGGCAAGAAATTCAGGTTGTTACTAGGAAGATAATCTGCAACACTGGTTTCCAAAACAGTACTTTATCTCTCTTAGTATTAGAGCTGGACAATAAACATTTCAGTGAGCAGCTAGAAGAGGAAAAGTTACAGATTTTAAGGAGCTGAAGCCATTCATGGAATTGGAATCTGGCAAACTGTACTAATGTCAGAAAAACCAAGCTATGTGAATGTTTTGGATCATAGAATACAAAAATTCTACTTTACAAGATTTCTGAAATGTTTCATTTTGGAAGGGGGAATAAGGATAAAATTTTTTTGAATGCTTATTTTGCTTTGAAGACAACCTGTTTCAAAACTATCCTACACTTTAGCAAAGAAGAAAAAAAAAGTCGCATTCAAAGGTTAGATACCCCAAACCCAAGATGTGTTCAGTTGACCTGAAAAAAGTATTTTTGATATAACTGAGAATTTTGATGTGTGAATTGTTATTTTTTTTTTGTTGGTATGAAAATAAAAACCAGACAACAGTGAGATTATTTACCCAGCTCTGATTAGAACTGCCCCTTTAAATTTGATATGATGAAGCTATGTAAAATGTGCCATTGTGTTGAAATCTGTTAAGCTACAGCTGCTCTTTGCAAATGTCTAGATGAGCATTGCCTCTGAAGAGAAGCATTTCTGCTGTTCAAGGCCACTAGTTCCTGATCCTTCTTATGTACTATGAAGCCATTTGAGTGCCTATATGACCAGCAATCCAGGATAGAAACAAACAAGAGAAAAATTCCACTGTGATTCAGCACATTACCTAGCTGCACAAACCCTTTAGCTTTACCCTGGGGTCTGAAGTGTGAATTGGTTATTGATGTGGGTGGAGGTCAGGGCTGCTTCTTGAGACAGTATCCTCAGTTATGCTGGGCCAACAAAATAACGACTTAAAATCAGTGATACAAAACAAGCACAGTAATGTCCATCTGCTGTATTTTGTACCAGACACTTCTAGTCAGTGCTCCAGATATTCTTTTGTAGAAATTTGAGTTAGAGTATTATTTCTTTTCATCATTCATCCTGTCTCTAATCAATAGAATGCTAAATAAGTAGTTAAAAAAAAAATCCAGTACTCATAAGAGACACAACAGTTTGTCTTCATATAGTAATTTGAGAAATGCCATAAGCATTGCCTCTATTTGATTTTAGTATTTCTAATTAAGCAAACCCCTGAGTGAATTTTTGTTTTCTTTAGTCTCTGCCTCAACAGCATTTAAATCCAGCATATGAAGACGCATGGAGCAGCAGTGATGATGAAGGCTGAATTTCAGTTATGCGGTGATATGCAGTTGACGTTCAGGCACTGCGTTCACAGGCTTCATCTACAGATTTGGATAATGTCTTATAAATTACAACTGGATTTTTGGTACAGTTCTGTTAGGGCAAGTTATTTTGGAAATAAGTTTCCACTGTTCTGTGTTTTTCCTTCACTGTTAAAGGATTGCTTTTTCATACTTACGGACTTTTATACTTAGCTTTACACATTGGTATTCTTTATTCAGTTTTGAATATCTGATGGAAGAAAAGTCCCTTGGCAACAGTAAATACTGCACTGCTTCTGGGGTCACTAATATATAAGGAAATAATACCTTCATTCCCAAGAGGCATGCTACAGAAGATTTTGCCTGAAATAGGACTAGTTCAGGGATACTTCCATCTTATTTTTATCAGTGTCTAGATGAAACAGACCAGCATTCATTTTCAATGGATGTTGGCTGTGGGAGCCAACAGGATTTTGTGTCTGTTCTTTTGCATTTTCAGTTTAGCCTACGTTACTGCACAAATGCAGTAATTCAGTTCAGAAAGAGGTATAGCTGAGATCATCTATTCAAGTATTTATATGGTGATCCCATCAGTTAGTATTTGAATCTGTCCCAGAAAGTTAAGAATATAAAGTAGTTTGGAGTTTTTGTTGCTTCTGTTAGCAGGTTTTAAGATCAGACTCCATGTATGAATCTCTCACACTTCTCTAGCCAGTATGAAAACTTCATGCCCAAACACAGGCTTGAGGTACAGTACAAGGCAGAGAGTGAATCACACTTCAAGGTAGGAATATCAAATGTAGCCCTCCAAAATTCTGAATCTGTGAATTTCCTCAGTTTTGAAAGGAGAAGCTTTGTGAGGTTATTGTCTCATCTCAGTTGCTAGTTTGTGCTTCAGACATAGTGCAGTCACCAAGCAGAGAGCGGAGTTAGAGGTTCCCAGCAGCTGTAGATGTAGCTGTATAGATAAGAACTTCCTTCCAAAGCAGAGCAGATGCTAGGACCACAAATTTGTACACAAGGAAAAAATATTGTAAAAATAAATGAAAGATAATAATTTAATCTTTGTATAGTGTGTATTATTTCTGATTAGTACTCATTCACTGTGCCTCTGTATTTCAATATGAATGCAAGGTATGTCAATCTACAGTCTAACACTGTAAAAATGATACAAAGCAAGGAGTGGGCATATCAAGAGATGCTGTAATTAAACAAGCTTTGTATGTAGTGCATTTTTGCTAGGAAACACCCACTATTAAGTGGATAGCTGCAGGGTGGAAGGCTTCCAGAAGTTTTGGCTGGAGTTAAGAACCAGCGTGACACTGTCACTGTACAGGAATAGAGAAAAGAATTTTTTATTTATTTTTTTCTCCAAATTAGTTTTCATTAGCATGAGGGCTGTTCCCTCTAAAACTGGGGAATAAATTTTGAGAAAATACAACACATTGACTTTTGTCTTGATAAGGATGAACCTTTTGCATGTTGTAATTGTGCATATGATTTGTATATGCAAACTGGAAAGCATGTATTTGCTATTTGAATTTCTAAAAATGTGCTTAGTAAATTATAGAGCTAGTTATCAAAGATTTTTTTTTTTGTTGTCAGTTTTCAGTTATCTGTAATGTCATTATAACTGGTGTTGGTCTCAGACAAAAACCCACCACATAACCAGATCTGTGTTGGACAAAGAATGATATATAAAATGGGAGAGGTAGAAAAATTCCATTTATTAAAAAAAGGTGGTACAAAAATTGAACCCGCAAATAAGAATGCTGTATTCTCCTGGGTTTGGGTTGTTGTGAATTTTTGTTTGTTTTTTTTTCTTTGAATGACATTTTCTCAAATTAATTTCTTTTCCTGTGCTTTAAGTACCACAATTATGGAGATTACAGAGGACTACTGGAGCTAATCTAGTCCAACCTCCCTCCTTAAAACACAGTCATGTATACAGGTTGCTCAGGTTTGTGTCCAGTCAAGCTGTGAGTATCTCTACAACCTACAAACCTGTTCTGGTATTTGAGCATTATTGGACTAAAAGTTTCCTCTTAGATTTAAATGGAGTTTTCCGTATTTTGGATTGCAACGATTGTGTCTTCCCCATTCCTGGATACCACTTAGAATCTGACTTCCTCTTCCATACTGTCCTTTTCCCTGGATCCATCAGGTATTTCTTCACATTTGTAAGATTCCCCTCTGCCTTTTCTTACCCAGGCAGAACAGTCCCAGTTCTTTCAGCCTCTCCTGGTAGGAAGAATCAGCTCCCTCAACCTGCTGACATCACTTTTCCTAAGTAGCTCAGGTTGCTGTTGGCTGCCTTTGCTGCAAGGGTACATTTCTGCCCCTTTAGTATCAACTAGGAGTGCTGCATCATTTCCTAGAGCTGCCTTCCAGCAGGTTGGTCCCTGGCCTCTCCTGGTCCATGGCCTTTTTCCTCCCTAGACGCAGGATTTGATATCTGCATGTATTGAACATCATGAGATTCCTGTCTGCATATTTGTCCAGTCTGTTGCTACCTCTGAATGGTAGCAGCACAACCATCTGGTGTAACAAGCACTCCACGCAGTCTTGTATCATATCGTGTATCAAACTTGTTGAAGACACATCTGGTTTTATCATCAAGGTCATTAATGAAGATATTAAATGTGACTGGATCCAGTATTGCCCCTTGGGGTACACCACTAGTGACTGGACTTTGTGTCACTGGTTGCAAAGCCTCTAGGCCTGACCCTTCACCATTTTTCAATCTTACTGTCCACTTACCTATTCTTTACTTCGTCATCTGTAAGGGTGTTATGTGAGACTGTCAGGAACCTTTCTAAAACAGAGATAGATACCATCGACTGTTCTTTCCTCATCCACCAAGCTAGATACTGTATTGTAGAAGTCTGTCAGATTGGTAAATCATGATGTTCCCTTTATAAATTTAGGCTGACTGCTACAGTCTTTGTCCTTTATGCGTCTGGTAGTGGTTTCCAGGATTATTTGCTCCATCACCTTCTCAGGGATGGAAGTGAGGTTCACTGACCTGTGTTTTATGGATCTTACTTCCTAAAGACATAGGTGAGTTTCACTAGCAAGATCTCCAGTCACACTGCCCAAGTCACAGAATGCAAAGGGAGAATGAAGAACTGCCTGCTGTAGATCAGGTTTGAGATCATCTAAGGAACCTGAAAGTGCACAAATCCATGGGAGCTAAAGAAATGTGTCTATGGATCCTGAGAGATCAGGCAGGTGTAGTTGCCAAGCCATTATCCATCATGGTTGAGTATCTGTGGCAGTTCAGTGAAGTTCCTGCTTACTAGAGAAGGGGAAACAGAACCCCTATTTTTAAAAAGGGGGAAAAAAGGAAGACCTGGGAAACTACAGACCAGTCAGTCTCACCTCGGTGCCCAGCAAGATCATGGAGCAGATCCTCCTGGAAAATATGCTAAGGCACATAGAAAATAAGGGGATGATTGGTGATAGCCCCCATGGCTTCACTAAGGGCAAATTATGCCTGAACAATTTGGTGCCCTTCTATGATGGGGGGGGATAGATTTGGTGGATAAAGGAAAAGTGACTGATGTCATGTACCTGGACTTGTGCAAGGCACTGTCTCACATGACATCCTTGTCCCTAAACAGGAGAGACATAAATTTGATGAACAGACCACCTAGCACATAAGGAATTGGCTGGATGCCCACAAACGGAGAGTTGTGGTCAATGGCTCAGTGTCCAGCTGGAGACCAGTAATGAGTGATGTCCCTCAGGGATTGGTGTTGGGACCAATCTTGTTCAATATCTTTGTCAGTGACATGGACAGTGGGATTAGGTGCGCCCTCAGCAAATTTATTAATGACACCAAACTCTGTGATGTGGTTGATATGCTGGAGGGAAGGGATGTCATGCAGAAGGACCTGGACAGGCCTGAGAGGTGGCCAGTGCCAACCTCATGAAGTTCAACAAGGCCAAGTACAAGGTCCTGCACCCAGGTTGGGGCAATCCCAGGCACAAATACGAGTTGGGCAGAGAATGAATTGAGAGCAGCCCTGAGGAGAAGTACTTGGAGGTGTTGGTTGACATGAAGCCCAAAATGAGCCAGTAGTGTGTGCTTGCAGCTCGGAAAGCCAACAGTATCCTGGGCTTCATCAAGAGAATTGTGACTAGCAGGTCAAGGGAGGTGATTCTTCCCCTCTGTTCTGTTTGTATGAGAACCCAACTGCAGTTCTAGGGCCCCCAAGATGAGAGTGACATGGACCTGTTTGAGCAAGTCCAGAGGAGGCCGTGAAGATGCTGAGGGGACTGGAGCACCTCTCCCGTGAAGACAGGCTGAGAAAGATGGGCTGGTTCAGCCTGGAGAAGAGAAGGCTGTGGGGCCACCTTAGAGCAGCTTCCAGTGCCTACAGGTGGCTTACAAGAAATTTAGAGAAGGGCTTTTTATAAGAGCAACTACTGACAGAACAGGGGGTGATGGCTTTAAACTGAAAGAGGGTAGATTTAAATTAGATGAGGCAATTGTTTTCTGTGAGGGTGCTGAGGCCCTGGCACAAGTTGCCCAGAGAAGCTGTGGCTGCCCCATCCCTGGCAGTGTTCAAGGCCACGTTGGACAGGGCTTGGAGCAACCTGATCTAGTGAAAGGTGTCCCTGCCTGTGACAAGGGGGTTGGAACAACGTGATCTTTACGGTCCCTTCCAACCCAAAACATACTATTATTTTTGATTCTATGACCCTGGCTTTCTTTCAGTCCTCAGAAACCTCCCCTGTGTACTGTGACTTTTCCAAGATAACTGAGAATGGGTTTGCAATGACATCATGACCAGTTCATGTAAGCGTTTCTCCATCAAGAGTATGCTTTCCTTGCTTCAGACTTAATAGTGGTCTTGGGAACCTGGGGTTGCTGAAGTTCAGTCTTACTATTAAAGACTGTTGTGAAGAAGCATTGAGTACCTCGGCCTTTTATGTGCCCTTTGCATCCAATTCCGCTGCTCCATTTAGCAGCAAGATCACATTTTTCCTGAAGTCTTTCTTTTGCTGCTTTTATACCTACAGGTATACTGTAGGTTTTAGTTTTGCTTTTCATATTTCTCACCAGATATAACCCCAGGTGGGTTTTGGCTTTCCTAACCCTGTCTATGTGTGCTAAAGTAGTTTCTCTATATTCTTCCATGTTTCCACCTCTTGTATGCTTCCTTTCTGCATTTGACTTTTCTCAGGAGCTCCTTTTTCATGTATGGGTGCATCCTTCCATCTTTGCTTTGTTTCCTTTGTGTGGGGATGGACCATCCTTGAAAATCAACCAGCTTCGTGAACCCTCCTTCTCATCAGGGCTGTATCTCATGGAATTCTTCCAGACAACTCCCTGGATTTATCTGGAAATGTGGAAACTTTCTTTTATGCTTTTATGTGGCTCATTTTCATACTGTTGCTGAATAAATTTTTGTGTATCAGTTTTGTGTAAGTTGCATCATGAATGTGACATGGGATTCAGCCAAGGGGAGGTGGGCTGGGGATTATTTTCTCTAGTATCTATTCATCCAGGCATCTCTTTTCGTTTAATGTCTAAAGCTGTCCCAAACAATTCAAAATAGAAATTAGTTGCCTTGGGGGCTTATTACTCCTACCAACAGCTAGTGTTTTTTACACAGAAATCTTTCTGAATTCTCTTCTGGTATAATGATGTCATTAATCTCCCTCTTCACTGTTGTCTTTTTGGGGAAATGAAAAACATCTGTCATATCAAGGCAAGAATCCAGACACATTTTTCTTCAATCCAGCACCTGCAAATCCTCCATGTAATGGTAGTAGCCAATAGGTGGGTCTTAGTTTGCAAGGTTTGAAACCTCTTGGTACTAGCCAGCATCTCAAATGCAAATTTCTGTGAAAATTCTACTTTGAATGATGACATATTTTTTATGATTTCCTTAAGTACTTCTAGTTTTCTGTAAATATATAATTTTTTTCCAGAAAAAAAATACTATATTTTATTTCTGTTGCATTCTTATAATGGCTTTACTCAGTTACTAAGTGTTGGTACTTCAAAATGAAAAATTTTGAAGGGTGGTGAAGGTATGCTGTA